CAAGATGTCCATGGATGGATCTGGATCCGCTTCGTGCTCCGAGGCTCCGGATGATGATGTCGTTATGAACGATGATCCTGAGGATGCGACGGATGATGAGGATTGGGCTACCATGGGGGCTGCTGCTCTTCGAGCCGAGTCTTATCCTAACCAGGCGGCAGCTCAGACGGACCATGGCTTCCGATCCTCTTCTGCATATGCAACAGGTGGACTTCGTTCGTTCTCTGCCAGCTCCGGCATGGCTCGCCCACCTCAAACACTCAACATCGACTTCTCGGCGTTGGCGGGCACCTCTGACGCACAGGAGCGGGAGGCCGTCGAGGCCCTCCTGCAGCTCGGTTCTGTATAATACCTCTCTGCATGCACGGCGTTTTTTGGGCTTTCGGTATCTCTGAAGGCGGTCGATTCGGGGCAGGGGCTGGTTGGCTTAAGGAGAGGCCGTGTCGGCCCACACTAATGACCGAGGCGGCGACCTCTGGATCGTTATTATTATCACGATGACACGGTTCTCTTAGCGTTTTTTGTTCGGGCTTTTCTCTTTCTTAATATGGGCTCGGTTTTTGGCGTCTTGGTACTCGGCGGCATCTGTTTACACGACAGGTGAATCATCGTCGGCTGTGGAAGGTCAGCATGCGGGTAATGTTCCAATACTTGGGTGCCTCCCGAAACTTTTCGGTGCCCAGAGATGGAATGTTCTAATACCCGGGTCTTATTTCTTATTATTGAGGGGACACAAGTTGTCGGGGCATTGCTTCCGTCACTTGATATTCCTGTCGCTCCATGGGGGCTGTTCCATTCTAGCCCCGAGGCGCATACTTATGCCGGGAGCTTTGGCTTCTGAGCGACACGACAACACCCTTGACGGGAAGGGCTGGTCTCCGATGTTGAGTCGTCTCCTTGGGGTATTTGTTTTACAATACCCGGTCACCCAAGTTTGGCTTTGCATCATTACCAGATCCTACCACTTCAACATTGTGTGGAGGATTATGACGACGATTATTTTATACCATTTGTGGGCAGTTGCAGCCTGGTTTTTGGGCCTCGTTTTGCAACTTTCTCGAATCTTTGTTTAATCAACTTTTATGGGCATTTGATGCGGGGAACGCATCATCATCAATAACAGATAGAGGAGGGGAAAAGGGACATAACTGGATGAACCCTTAACACAACATATAGGGATATGATATCATGGCTGGAACCAGTTGGGCTCGAACGCTACACGCTCGCCCTCGCGTCTTTTGTTTGCCGAGGGCACAAAGACTGAAAAAAGGAGTAAAATCATATTGGAGCGATGGATTAGATAGCTTCCTGATCGTTAGTATCCAAAGCCTCTTGAGCTTACCAATGGAAGTTCTGATCTTTCCTTTCCACATGGAGTGTCTGTAGCATCGCACGTGTGAATGTTGACGTTGACTTTATGAAGATGAGGGGGTTGGTCGGTCAAGGCCGATGGGGAATATGGCGTCAATCTCGAATTTGGTTGGGAATTGTATTGTGGTGTTGAGAAATAGAAGAAACAAAGCATGTGATAATTCCATCACAGAATGGCGAGATCAGAGTTTCTAGATAACAAACCCGTGTTCGGCCAGTTTGTTTGTCAACAATGATTCATACTGGAAAGGTTGAAGGCAACTATAATGAAAGAGTTTTGCGGCGGAGAGAGGTGAAGTCATTCGATCGATGGAGACAGCGGTAATCGGCAGTCACGTGGATGGTCATGTTTTTGAGTATGTTTCGTAATCACAATACTGATATTGTAATCATCTTTTCATCTGTGTGGTGTGTCGATTCACGATGAAGCAGCAAGCCGGAACATGTCTTTACTGTGCTCTTGAACTTTTCTCTTGCTAATCTGCCATGAGTGGGTAAGGCGAAGCGTGAGTATGATGAATAGTAACTCATGTAAGTGGTGTTTACTTCAGATCAGTAGTGTATGGGTTTAAAGAGTACAACACAGATCCTTCATTCTTCAAGCACAATGACAACGGAGTCGACTACTGCTCAAGCCTGTCAGACACACACCAGTAGAGGAAACAACACATTGATCTATGCCGATGCCATGAATAACGAGACAGTGGTTCAATACAGTCGACATTGCTGTTGCTTACCCTAAACAATTTCATCGTTCGCATCACGATATAAACAATTCGACCCGGAGGCCTCTTGCATTCGTTGCTACGCATGTTATGTACCTAGTGTGTATTCAGTGTATAAAGTTGAAATATTATGAGCTAATATGATTTATTAACTTGGTGGAGTTGATATCAGCCTTTGTACCAAACAACACCAAGGCTACTCACCAGTCGGACTCTTTCCCTCAATCACAAAGCAGTATCGTCACGCCAAGAAAACAACAAGCGTTAATAGCCGGCGATAGTAGTATAGACGATCACCTTACCCTATCCTGCCGCTGGCATCTTGGCTTTGACATGCGATGAGGTGATTATCAAAGCACTTCTGATCTTGGCTACAAAGCTTGAGCAGGCTTATGTTCACAAGACAAGAACGAGAAGACCTCGGACATTTCTTGGCCTGCACTGCCACCGTTTGTCGTCATCACCAAGACCTTGGCATCAAAAGGAGTGTGATGCTCAAGTTCTGGGCATTCTCTGGGCACTCTCTTGGCTTTTGCTTGGCCTGATAGTGGTGCTTGGTCTGGGGTAATGGTTCGGGGAGGAGGAGAGTGTCCCTGCGGAGGACAGAGGAGAATATACAATCTTCAGTGCGGGATTTGTTGAATGACTGTTGATGTAATCTTGATACTCGGTGGAGAGGACTAGGTGCCTATGTGAGAGCGCTTGGAAGATTGAACGATATTGACTTGACTGGATGACGATGAACGAAGGGCAAAACCTGCAAGTCTACGAGGCTGCATCATATTTCTCTGGGCATTTCACGGACGCATCTTCATCTCCGATCCCCCATTGCGGCAACGATGGTTTTAGATCCTCGGCGTTCTCATTTTCCTAGGCGAGCTTAGAGGAACAGGCTATTTCGACGGCAAATAATGGAGATACTGCTGAGCGTTATCAAACCCGTTGTTTACTATGTTACTATACTGTGCTGCAACTGGACAGATTAAGAGATTTCGGATGGGCTGAGACGTGATATCTTGTTGAAAATGCATATCGATATGGAGAATCAATATGGGGAAGCATTGACTATGCGACCCGACCCGCAAACCGGTCAGATGCCCAGGTAAAACATGATAACACGTTGCTACATAGTATGATTTGATGAATCGGAGTTGGTTTTGAACAGCCAGTCTTACACAGTAGGTAACTTATTGGCCACCACACATGCAGAGAACATGCCCTCCTTATTCTTAACCGAAGCATCATGCTGTACATATCAAAATTTAGTGCGATCGACGCAATCTGGGCCCAGAAAGGCAGGCAGTATAAACGGCAGTGAAAAGAAGCATAATCACTTCTAACCTTAGTACTAAGTTAACAAGGGGAAAACGTGTGCTTGGCTCTACATTTCTTGGCGTGCCTACATGAAAAGAGGAGAGGAGAAGGACCAAGACTACCTACTTGTCTTGGCAAGGAGATGCCAAGTGGACCTTGGCAGTCTGGGGCCAACCTTGACACGAAATGGAGAATATTGTCTTGGCTAAATGTCTCGGCGAAGAAAATAAGGACAAACAAGTCCAAGAGTGAATGGGAGAGGCTAGCTAGACGCTGGCCTTGGTGCTTGGGCAGAGCAGATGGGCGGAAAGCTTGGTTGTGTGGGAGTCTGGCTTGGCTGATGACATGAGGTTACCTACATAGGAACTGTACCTACGGATACCGGGTGAGAGAGAGAAGGGTTCACTGAGTCAGGTTAGTTGTTGATCGGATCAAGTTATGTATTTGCTAGAGTCTGGTATGTTCTGAACGCCTCGCTCCCTATTGTTAGCAGTCATCATGTATTATCAACAAAGTTGCGTGCTTTGTCTGGTGCTTTTGACTCATCTATCGGAAGAGGTCAATTTCCCACTATCCGATACCGTAACCTGCCCTGGGAATAACAGAGCCTGAACCTACTAACTACTCTTCCGGCAGATTTTGTCAAATTTAGCTGATATTAACGTTACGGAGTAGACTACGGGGGATAACAGTTCCCCGATAGACCCGGAACTCTCCATTTATAATTTTTACCGGCTTATGAACCCAATCACTCACTCACTGACTGCTTGTCCCCTGCTTAACTCCGCATGCAGCGTATGTACATATTCGTGCAACCCCAGCATTTTCAATTCTCGTACAACATTTGTCTCTTGTCGTTCGGATCTGGCCCCCGCCGAAAGACGCCCTGAGTGAGGTGAAGAGCACAAGGTGAGTGAGAGTGAAAAGGGTGTCAGGTCAGGGCCGAAATCCCAATGGCTCAGGTGACGGAACGACAAAACGCTTGACGCAGTAGGTGGCCAGCTTTGTGTGAGGCCAATATCAACAAGACCAATAGAACGACGCACATGAGGGGCAGTGCCCAGAATGCCAAGCCTTGGCGCTCTTGGCATCCTCAGTCTGCCATCAAACTGGGTGTAGCTCACGCCAAGAGCTACTCTCCACCGCTATCGCACCGGTATGGCCGACCGTGTACCCGTCAGTTGTCAGTACCTCTGGTCCTTGCCAAGACCTTTGCCAAGAGTCGCCAAGAATCCCGCCGTCTTCATCCTCTTGCCCAAGAGTTTTGGGTGAATGTAAAGGGAGCTCACTCCCCCCCGTCACTCATTTATCAAGAACGAACTCTCTTTTGAACATCTCATTCATCTGTAATCACCCGTCTATCAATCTATCAATCAATCTCCAACTTCTTTCCTGTCGACAGGTTTTGATTGAATTTAACCTGAGAGACGCCCATCGTACCCTTGTTGAACTAAAGCAAGACCCTCTACACTCTGACTAGTCTCAGTCAGTCAGTCAGTCAGTCAGTCAGTCAGTCAGTTTATACAGCATCGCCACTGAGAGCGGGCTTGATCAGATATCCCATTATTGCATTTCTCTTCTATTCCCGTCATGTCTCCTCCGGCTCCAGAGCAGAAGCCTCAGCTTCAACAACAACAGCAGGGCTCATCATCAGGAGATTCATCTTCTGGCAGCGCCAATGACTCAAAGTCTGTGACGCCTGCCCCTAGCGCCACATCTAATACATCCCAGAGCAGCACTGCTCCCTCAACATCAAGCGACGATAACCTTATCTGCCGATGGAATGCTTGCAACCAAAAGTTCCCTGCTCCCGAGGCTCTCTACGTAAGATACTGAAACATCACCAACGAGCAACAAAAACTGACCTCTTACAGGAGCATATTTGTGAGCGCCATGTTGGTCGCAAGAGCACAAACAACCTCAACTTGACTTGCCAGTGGAACTCTTGCCGAACTACCACGGTCAAGCGAGACCACATCACCTCGCACATCCGTGTCCATGTTCCTCTCAAGCCTCACAAATGTGAGTTCTGCGGCAAGTCTTTCAAGCGTCCTCAGGACTTGAAGAAGCATGTCAAGGTAAGAATCACAACCACAACCCATGTCCAAGAGTTAGCTCACATGCAAACCAGACCCATGCCGATGACTCTGTACTTGTTCGCCCATCCCAGGATCCTCAAGGTGGACTCAACTACAGGCCACAGCCTCCAAAGGGTATGTCTCATCTCGACTCTAGTCCACGGCTGTGGTCCTCCGGTTTTCCTTCCCTCGAGGCTAATCCGCCTCCAGGCCCCTCTAGCTATTATGATCACACTGGTCAGATGCGAACTAACGCAGCTGCCTTTGCTCATCAGGCAGGCCATCCTAGTGGCGGTTACTATGCTCCCCAGCCCTCTACCAACTATGGTCTCTACTTCAACCAGCCTCCCATCAACAATGCCCGTACCGAGCACCTTGGATACAGCGCTGCTGCCGGCGGTTATGACCGAAAGCGCACCTACGACATGGTTGACGATTTCTTCGGAAGCGCCAAGCGTCGACAGATCGATCCTTCGTCTTATGCCCAGATTGGCCGTTCCTTGATGCCCCTCCATGGCAACCTCTCCGTTCCCAACGGTCCTATGACTGCTACCGAGCAGTACATGCCTCAGCCTGCTCCCGCTCCGGTCCACGCTGGTCCTACTCCCAGCCAAAACCCCTTGGCTCAGCAATACTACCTCCCCATGCCCAGCGCACGAACCCAGAAGGATCTCATTCACATCGACACCATTCTTGGCCAGATGCAAGACACTATCTACGAGAATGCCAACCACGCTACTGCTGGTGTCCACATTCACCACGCTGAAAACGGCTTCAACGGTTACCGCAACACTCCTTCACCTCCTACCTCTCACAGGTCTCCTACCGGCATGCATGTCGGAGCTGACGGCTACCAGCCTGTGTCTGCCGCTAGCATGGCCTCGCCTCTGACGGCCATATCATCTACCGGCACTCCTGCCGTTACACCGCCCTCCAGCTCCATGTCATACACATCTGGTCACTCACCAAGCCCATCATCCTCTGCCATGTCTCCCCAGTCCCGCCACGGCTCGACTGCCTCAGTCATGTACCCCACTCTCCCCACAAGCCTCCCTGCTGTTAGCCAGGGCTTCGGCCACTCTGCCACAACCACTCTTGGTCCTAGCTTTGACGGCAGCGAGCGTCGCCGCTACTCCGGCGGTATGCTCCAGCGAGCTCGTGCTGGTCCTCTGCCTCTGCCTCATGAGGACACCAGTGGTGCTTCTACTCCCAAGGCTAGCGAGTCTGCTCTGTCTGTGGGCTCTCCCTCTTCGGAGTCCGATGTCAGTGATGCTACCCGTGAGCGTGAGGAGCAGTATGACCGCTGGCTCGAGAACATGCGAGTGATTGAGACTCTTCGCGAGTATGTCCGGGGACGTTTGGAGCGTAAGGAGTTCGTGGAAGACAATGAGTCCCCACGATCTAGCCACTCCGACGCTATGGATGTTGACCCAAAGAGCCCTCAAGCTCCTCCCAGAGAACTGGGTACTCCTCGTGAGGGATCCTCTCTGTACCCTATCCTTCGCATGCCTGGCGCTTAGGTCAGTCCTTGAGTCAGCTGCTGGTTTGGCTGTACGTGTACTATTATCGTCTATCATTTTTCTCTGCATCAAAGCAATGCGGAATGTTATGTTCACGCGGTCTCAATGTTGAAATGAAGTTTGAACCGTTTGGTTCTGGGACGCTCTGAATTGAGCCTCCCACAATAGCGGCTGGGAAGGGCATATTGTTTAGTTGGTGAAATGTAAGGACAGATGCAACGCAATGGACCTTCAGTTGGGATTTCTTTTTCGTTTTTCTTCTTTTGTCAGCTACTGATTGACAATCTTATAGTCAATCAATGACGGATTATGAATGACATAGGCAAAAAGGTGGCTCGGTTTTTTGAGATGAGATAGCAGGGATTATGAATTCTCGAGTACTATCAATAAGAACAACATCAAAAAGTGCTGAACAATCTTCCAAGACCATCTTGACTCTCGCATACATCACGTCTGATGTCACAGTTTGTATTGTATACGAGACATGTTACTCAATCAATTCGAAGCATTGTGATGATATCCGAAAATGACCGGCCAGCTAGACACAGATTGCGCACAAAGTACCTAATGCAAAGACACATGCACTCCACGATCAAAGAAACAATGTAGCACAAGTATTCTCCGATACGTCGTCGCCCCCATTCCAACAATAAAGTCGATCCCTGTAGCGAGTCCCGTGCTGACCCCGAGAGCTGAAGCAGCGATCTCTGTCGCAGGATATAGCCAAGGACGGCCGTGCTGTGTCGATCACTGTGAGGCTGTGAGAGGACAAACGTCACTTTGTTAGATTTGTGATTAAGAAGAGCGAACTAGTTTATGATAGATGAACGCATTATTGTTTGCGGGTGGTGTTTGTTGTTTCATGGATATAACGTGGTTATGATGCATGATAGTGTTTGTTGCATGCGGATGAGTTGGAACGATATTGGTCTTGCATTTAGCATATATAGTATTTAGCATATAACTCATTTAGCATATAAAGTGATTATTATGTGAATAGTGTTGCATCTGAGGATTCATAACATTTAGCATATATATGATGGTATTTAGCATGTAAGATAGAGCCTACCCTTTCAGTTCAAGTCAGCGCAACATGTATACATAATAATTCATCGATCAAACGGCCTTTCAAAGTTAAATATACTTACCGACTCCAGAAACAGCCTAAATCGACACGTTTTTCCCGCTTTGGCTTTGTCAAACGCGAGGCTTTGATGTCAGTCCAGGTCCTGAAACACGTCGGGAAATGAATGACGGCACTTGCATGCACAAGAAGAGAAAATACACCAAGAGGAAGAATTAGAGCACCAAAGTCAGGATGCGCCGGAGAGTCTCATGTAGATGAAGTCATGGCCGAGTACCTCAGTAGGTAGTTAGTTTCTCGTAAGTTCCCTAGGTCTTACAGGATTTTGGGCGTATAACTTAGGTACTCCTCTTTTAATCTGGTTTGAGGCTGATTCTGTGGGTGAAGGATTCGGGGAGGATCAGAAGGTTAATTGTGATTGTCACACATACATGCACATAAGATAAGGTAGGTACATAAAATAACGGCAAATGGCAGTAAATAGATCCTTGATTGATCTTCGGCCAGGGAAAAAGAAGAGGAAGGGACGGGGGCCGTTTCATCAGCCGGCGACGCTTACCCATTTTTTGTTTGTTCTGTCTGGTCTGTTCCGTTGCTGTCAAAAGTATATTTTAAGGAGCCTGATCCCTTATTCCTCGTGCAATTCAGTTCAATGCTTTGCCTTGCCTTATTTAGGTCTCTATTTATGCCTTGTGTCCTGCTTTGTCCTCCTGTTCAGTGCCTCTATTTCCTCTTCTTTTCTTCCAAGTGATTCACCAACAAGCACACTTGTTCACTTACAGCCTCAACATATATCCTCTTCCTCTGACCTACCTACAACTCCTACGCAAGATCCATCTACTCCTATCAAAACCAAGAACAACAACTCAACATGCGTTTCTTCGCCGTCGCAGCTCTCCTGGGCGTCGCCCTCGCTGCGCCAGCCTACGACAAGGCCGACGGCACATGCTGCTGCTGCGATATCTCCAAGCCCGCCACAGTCTGTAAGAAAGACGTCAAGCCCGAAGACTGCTTCTGTGCCGCCGTCGTGTGTCCCGCCGGTGCCCCTACCATCTGGGCTACCTCTTCTACTTCTCCTGCAACTACCACCACGGCCGCTCCCGTTAAGCGCGAGGAAAAGACACCTACCCCTGCTGGACCTCCTTGCTGTTGCTGCGACCCGTCGAAGAATGCCATCGTCTGTACCGTGCGTGCCGAAGGCGAGGATAACTCGTGCATTTGTCCTATGGTGATGTGTCCCGCTGACGCATCGACCTTGACTGTTTACTCGACTGCCATGGAGACGGGCAAATAGGGAATAAACTTGATAAGATGTTGCTCTTCACTTGAAGCTGCAACTTGTTCCTCAACTCTTCGCTTCTTGATGTACATCCCTAGGGTTTCAGTTTTGATTTCAGTTGGCATAGCAAAGCATGGAGGAGTACCAGAATGGATCAAGTATGAGTGTCCCGAGAGAATCCTGCAAGATAATTGAACATTGTCAATCAATAGCATGCTTCTTTGTCTCCAATTGAGAGAGGTCTCCAATCGTGATGCTGTACGGTGATCCCGGATCAACACTGTAAAGAAATCCTGACACTCGCTTCGACCCAGACTGAACCAACGATAGTTGAGTCTTGGGAGCTATCTTTACTAAATCATTAGCCCAGTGTTCTCTGATACAGCAGCCGTTCAACTCAACGTCAAGGGGTGGTGTAAGCCGGCGAGATGGATGGCCAATCAGAAGCTCTACGTACCAAGACATTCGATGCAAGAGGTAATCAAAGGAATGCCGACCTACAGGATTACGATCCGGTCATGCCTCGTCAACCTCCCTTCAGCCAGCCTCTGAGCCAGTCAACAAAACATCACAAAGACTTGTTCGTGGGTCACTATAGTCACTCAAAATTGTTAGGATAAGAAATTATACACTATCGACTACAGATAGATAGTTAGTTGCTACTCCAAAGTGCTCCGTGTCGTATCCCAAGACTCAACCCCATGGAAAATAGGAAATTGTTTTACTCAAAGTAAAAGTGTTTTGCTTCGGCCCATGTTACCCATCAACTGCCAGAGTGATCCAAGGCCTGTCCACGGGGTGCGTCACTGCCACCCCTCTCCGCCTCATGTTTTTAATCCATTCATTAAACCCTCTCTTTCCAAGGACCTTGGACCATGGCAGTTTGTTTTTGACTGTTCAAGTCGGTTGACGGGAAAGGTGAGGGGTCTATATGCAAAAGTATGATGGGGGAGGGGCGACCACTTGATGGGTAGCAATGCGAAAATTAGACCGCAGCGTAAACGGGTATATATATATAGTAACGGGTCATGAATAGTGCCGTTGACTCTCCGGTTGCAATGGCAAGGTCGAGCCATGGTAGGCGGGTTAGTTCGCTAATTTTTGGTGGTGGGAAGAAAAGTCCCAAAATGAAGAATCGTATTCAAAGCTTTGTCGTGACAAGGTCGTCCAGACGGCTCAAGATGCATCGCCGGCGACGAACGAAAGGAAAGGGAAGCGTCAAGGAGAGGCATCTCTTTATTGGAATTGAGTACGGTCCTTCTCCTTGAGGCCGCCAATTTGGTCCATGTCGATAGAGTAGAACTGACCCTTGGCCTCCTTCTCGTAGGCGGGCAGTTGCTCCTCGTTCATGGGCTCCAGACCGACGGTCGAGTTATCACCAACGCGGACGACAAGCACACGACCGCTCTGCTGTCGGCCTTGCTCGTCCTTCTCATCGGGGAAGGTGATGTGAATCTCGGGAACGTTATCGGGGGAGTAAGGAGGAGAGTTGGGGTTGGCAAGCATAGGACGGCCGTCCTGGTTGACGACGAAGACGCTGGAGCGGCCGTTATGTGTTGTCTCGATGGTAAGGCCGCGGTGGTTGGTGAATCGCTTGCTATTGCTGTCGTAGTAAGAAGGCAGACCATCCTCCTCGGACTGGATGGTTTGCTGCTTCTGACGGCGAGCGCGGCGGAACAGGAAAAGGATGGCGACCAGAATGAGGCCGAGGAAGACAAGGCCGAGGAGGCCAAGCATGAGGTTGATCATGTTGTCGTTTGAGCCATCAGAATCGGCAGGCATGTCAGATCGGGTAACGAGGTTCAAAATAGAAGGCATCGTGAATAGAGTTTGTGGTTGAATGTTACGTAGGTGTAGCAACGGATTTTGAGTTCGCAGTAACGATGGGTGCTCCGAGTAGAGAGAACGAATGTAAAGCCAGCAGCGTCTATTCATCATCATGTTAGCAAGCCATCATCTCATGGTCATGACCGAAATGCCACCCGGCGAGAGCGATCAAGCCTGTCTGTGGCGGTTGTCAAGTGCCTAGTCATCTGCAACGCAGCCTCCAATATTTGCAGCCAACTTCCATTCCGCATCAAGGCCGGGAAAGCCTATCTAGACTCCAAAGTAGACTTGTGTCGGAGGATTGGCCAATTCGAAGCCATGGCGATCCCACCAATTCAATGCATGCCATGACGTGTTGCACAATGACAACCCAAACAGACGACTCGATTAAATAAAGGTGGCAGGTGGAGGGTCAGATGGGACAGGATAACGTACGCCAGGGAGAAGATATCGCCAATAGTTCGTCAATGAATGCCTGGCGAGTACCGAAAACCGAGGTGGTTGGTGATGGGCCTAAGATAGTGGGTAGAACGAAGGGAGAGAGGGGGGTTGGAAAGACCGGACGGAAATCAGCTGAAAGAGTGAAGCTGAAGATCCAAAAAGCGATTGAGAACAAGATGTACTGGGAGCGAAAAAACGATGCCGTCGACGATATTCACAAACTTGGCCCGCGAGGATTGGGTTGGGAAAGGGAAAGAAACAACCACAACAGCAGAGGGAGAGGGTTTTTGGCTCGGAGCCTGTCCTGAGCTACACTTGGTCACGACAGGGGCCCCTGCCCCGGAAATGAGACTTGGGCCCAGGTGCTGT